GAAAAGCAATTACAGAACAGTCACTACAAAGACCGGAGTATTTTTTCTGGTTCACAGCACCTGCTTCAAAATATTTATCCCCTAAACCTTGGACACCCATAAGCCCTTTCCTGTTTTTTTCTTAAGGGAGGGGGCCAGTAGTGAGTAATCTGATAGAAAAAACATGGGCGACTGACACCTAGTCTGGGATAAAAAATGCATGGAGGGGAACGATTCTCAGAAAAACACCCAGTACCTTGGGCACCCTTAATCCCTTTTCCTGTTTGTCTGCGAGGGAGGGGGCAGCATTCTGATGAAATATACTGGGTGGATTATACCCAAGAGAAGGGTGAATAGTCCCCAGAGTGACAGATTCTCAGAAGGAATAAGCAAAAAAACACCCAGTACCCACAGGATTCACCTCGTTAATTACGCCCACTACAATGACTAACCCCATCAAATCAATCCTGGTTGCTATAATGCCTTTACCCTGTGGGCATTGAAATTGCTGTTTTGTGTTTATCGGAGAGTCAGCAACGAGAGCGCGTCTATATGCAGGATTAACGGCTGCAGTCTCATGACAAATCCCAGTGACGTGCATGCTTATTGCCAGTACCAGCAAAATTCAAGTCGAGTCCAGAAAAGAAACGGGCAGAAATGCAAAAATAACATGTGCAGTAAGGGGAATCAGGACCCTGCTGGATAAATTGAGCGTAAAAACTACCTTTGACGTAGGAATGCTGATTGGATGCTAGGAAGCGAACCCTTTGCTCCGCGTGAAAGGTTTTGTGACAGTTGGCCAAAAAAAAAAATTACATACCCACAAAAACATTATTTTTGATTCATAATTGAAGGTAGGCCAGAGGCACCTTTATTTACATTTCAAGTAATTTATCATGCAACACATGTTACATTTCCTAGTAAAACTCCACCTCCCCACCTCAAAAATTAAAATTAAAAATCTGTTGGCGGTTGCCAAAACACTGGCAAGATACAGACACAACAATTAAGTAAACTTTCCAGGACATTATTATCAGCAACAATTATCAGCTTTCCAAGATGACCTACAAAGATCAAGGTTTTCCTAGTTGAGTGTGAAAGAGGCTTTGGTCTGGAAGAGTTAATTCAATGGGACACACCCAGAGTGGGAAACTGAATTAACATATCAGTGACGTGTATCCTTGAAGAGTCCTTCAAGTATTGTCAATTGTGCAACTATCGATGGGGATTTCTGGCCATCCAAGTATTGACTTGGATAAATGCTTCCAGAGAAACTGTTCTCAATAGGTTTGGGGACAAAGTTTTACAGGTATCAATGGGGATTTCTGGGCATCGAAGCGTTGACTTAGATAAACCCTTCCAAAGAAACTGTTTTCAATACTAGGTTTGGGTACAAAGCTCTATCAATGGGGATTTCTGGGCATTTAAGTATTGACTTAGATAAATGCTTCCAAAGAAACTGTTTTCAATAGGTTTGGGGACAAAAGTGTTGAAGGCTTAACATTCTTTGTCAGTTATGCTTGAGTGATTCTAATACTCTCATTAGGGTATAACCCCTCCTGGCCTCCTCCCCTCTCCCCCCCCCCCAACACTATTTATTTATGATTGTCTAGCAACAAGACGGGAAAGCCCATGACTTATTTTCAGCGGAGTCCCTTCGTAGAGGATAAAGAAGGAAATTAGATTGTTAATGGTGGGAGGGAAACCCCGGAACGACATTCCGGGGAAACCCCATGGAATCAAGTAGGGACTGACCATGAAGAAACCCATTCTGGCCTAGGCGGGATTCGGACCTGGGTCAGTTACAGTGGAAGGCGGGGGAAAGTACCACTACACCAACCTAACCTCCTGTACTTCTTTTATCATCCTGATTTTCCTGAAACCTGGACACACTGAAATAAGCATGCTATGCATTTAATACTGAATACAACTTTGTGGTACTTCTACAACACTACAGTGAAGGCTTCCTCATCATTTAAGAAGCTTCTTGCATGCAATAGTTTCAGGCCCGTACGCTGGGGAGGGGGGGGACCCCAGCTTTGCGACGAGTTCTGCTCAGAAAAAATAAAATAAAAAACAATCTACTTTTGATGAGTGATGACCCGACCCCATAACCCTAAAAATCTTGCCTTCAAGTTGTAAACACGAGCAAATTTGATTCAAAAAGTCAGGGGAAAGTAGGCAAGATATGCCTCAGATTGCACCACAGAGCATCTTGAATCCAAATTTTTCGGAGAGCGGGCCCCGGACCCCACACACTATTGGCTTTGCGCTCTGAGCTCGCATATAAATAGTTCCATTTGGGGATTTAGAGGAACCCCCTTCCCCTCCCCAGTCTACATACATGTATGATCAGGGAACAGGCCTGAATTTGGACTAAACACCCGAGCAAGTTGACAATGACATGTATGCTGGATGAGATACATAAAATCTTTGGTACAGGCACGGGTCATCTTAAAGCTGGAGTAGATCTTGAATTACAGCACAGTAGAATTTTGGGGGAAAAGTTCCTCCAGGCAGAGAAAGCCAGAAATTCATTCAAGTGAATGAATATACTACATGTACCTTTCACTGTTTACATTGTACATGGATTAAATTGATACATGAAACTGTATGAGCAGTACGTGTTTTGCAGTGTAGTGTTGATGTACATGTACACTATTCATTTGTAACATTTCCGGGTCTGAATGATGTCACATACGCGTATGTCTTCGAAGAGGAAAAGGATTCATGTCAATGCTATGATGTCATACTCTGTTGACATGGTGTAGTCAGACAACATTGTCAGCTTTCTGTTAAAGCAACACTGTCCTTGTTTGTTCATGAGATTCATGGTTGGAGAAACCTTTCACAAGTAGGAAATAGTGTGTTAGAAAAGTGTGCATTCACTGAATTTGCAGATTTGTAACTATCCTGAGAGGGAATTTCGGGGTAGGCCTTTAATTTAACATTTATGTTGCATTTCTAAAGACAATGAGACAAACTACTGTATTCCAGTTTGAAAAAATACTGATTAAACAAAAGAAATATTTTTAAGTGTTCTTAAAGATTTAAACTGCCTGTGCTCTTGGCATATCTGACTTTTTCTCCAAAACATTTTGAACACATGAATTTTTATGAGTGTGTATTAAACTGGAAATTAGCATGGACAGTACATTTCAAACCAACTTCAATGCAACTTGCTTATATTTTTCAAACAAATCTGTGCCAGCGAGTTTACTTGCTCACTAACGTGTACATCACAGAATGGCAATATGTAGTGTACTATTATGTTGATCCTAGAATTAATCTGAAAGAGAAATGAAACAGAGACACAAACCTAATACCCAGTTTGCACTCACAGTATGTGGGCGTAATATAGGTGAAGTTGTAACATCTGATCAAATGTTAAAACTGAATAATGACAGCCACTGCCTTTTTGTTCAAGTCCTCATAGTACAGTACACCTGTCTCAACTTGATATTGAATCCTAGGCCTGTTGTTTGCCACTAGATGGGGACACCCAACACCCAGTGTACCCATTCTGAAGGTGTGTGGGTGGGCACACAACCCCCCATCTGATCAAATGTTGGGCCGGGTTGATGAGGTTCCCATTCCTGTTTCACTTCTACTCCCTGTCATCGGAAGTCACCCAACACCCAGTGTTGCCCATTTTTGTAGTGCGTGTGGGCGGGCACTTGTGGGGAACCTTTCGCAATGGGTTGATTGTTAAGGGTGCGACTGGGTTCCAGTTCGGAGTTCAAGACTCTTAAACAAGGCTCCTCATCTAACCAGTGGCTTAAGTGGTGTAATTAACGAAACACAAGTGTAGGGTTTCAGACTATATGAGTGGATCTCACTCCTTTCACATCCTGCACTTTAGCAGGTTATTAGATAACTCAGTTTCCTGGTTTGGTCTCGTGAAAATCATTCCTTAAACCTCAAATTTTTCAGAGTTTTACTTTTCACGTTCATACGTATATAGCACACATTTTGAAATTGAGTATTTGTGGCAATGCCACCACAAGGAAAAAATGTAACCCATTTTATTTATATACATCCATTTCAAATCAAACTGGAAATGGCTATCATATCAAAACAAATTTAAAAGTCCAATGTGTAAGCACCAATTATGATAAGCCTTTGATAATTTCAGTGACTTAATCGTTGTCGTACACAACCTAAAAACATTTACCGTGTTATTTTCAGTGTTCAATTTTGGAATCGTAGCCATCTCCATTTATCAAAGCACTTGTCAAGTCCTAGAATTAACAGCATGCAATAATACTGCAATGGTTAACTGCACTAGTGCGCAATGAACCAGTACACTGCTTTGGGTAGATTGTACACTTTGTACATGTACGCTATATTCATGCATACTATACACACAGGATACTAGTGTACAATACGCTGTTTACAGATGCCATGAAAATGAAATGCAGTGAAGCATACTACATGTATTTCTATGCATAATCCACACTAGCAATATTGCGTGTAGTGTGTGTCCTGTTCATACATGTACATGTTATGTACATTGTAATATATATTTTGTACACAGTCGGAAATCTTTTCAACCAACTGAGGGCAGCAGATGACTTGCACAGTTTGTTGTCTGCAAAAATCCACATGTACAGTACATGCATATTTTGTACACGTGTACATGCAGTAAAGCAGGGCACATCCATGCCCTTGACTCAACTGGAAAATGATTCCAGCTGCCGAGTGAGGGCAGTATTCCAATTTTGTGGCTATCAAATTCATTCAGTCCTCGAGCTGCTTTTCTTCATTTTACAAGTTGGTGCCTGTTTCAAATTTTCCCAACAACTTGCTTTTTATTCACAAGCATGGAAAGTCCACGTAAATCTATGATTAATGAACACATTTGCTTCGTTGTGGCACACCATGTCCAATAAAACTTATAACCAACCATTTTAACAGGTTATTTGGGTGAAAGATGCATTTATTTTCTCCAACCGAATTCGCTACTAGATGAGGCATTAATTTTTTCTCAATTTTTTTCCTCCTCATATTTATCTCAACAGATGCAAAACACAGCAAAGTACCGTTGCTCTAGATACATATTTAATGTAAGTTTATTGTTGGTGTATTTGTTTACCCTTATTCCGACCAATTTAGACCTTTGCCACTTTTTGTTTGCCCATTTACATCAATACATGTTCAGAAATAACATTAACAGAAACTCAGTATTGCAAAATGGAAACAACTGGAGCCTTACAATTTGAAAACCTGGCCTTCATTATAATTTCATGAAAAGTAGATTTTATATTTTTCTCCAACCCCCAAGTAATTGGAATCAAAATAATTAAAAGCAGTTTTTATGGGGAAAGTGACTTTCACCCGGCTATTTAATGTTGTGAAACAACCTACTGGCCTACTGGAAGATGAATTTAATTGGAGTGAGGGCAGTGTACCATTTTTTCTTCTGGCTAGTACTGAATCAATTCCATCCACAAATACAGCATTCTTCAGTTCACGGGTGGCTAATCCCACATTTTTCCAACGTTTTTACACATTATTAAATTATTTACAATAAAAATGTGGGTTTTGTTTTTTTAAATTGATGTATTTTGACATATTGCATAATTTACTCAAAAAAGCTGAGGAATTTCATTTGTCGCTTCTTTTTTCTTATAAATTTTCATCTCTACAGATTCACAGCATGGCTAAGCACATTTTATGAGTGTTAAAGTTCTGTGAAGATGGTATGTATTCAGCTTATTTGTATTAACCACTTTTTAATTTAGAAATCATTTTCAAATGTGGTGGCTATTTTTACGGAAGCCGTAACGTGTTTTTCAATAGCTATATAGTTACAGAATTGCAGCGCAACATTGCAAAAGTGAGACTTTAAATTCCAAAAGCAATTGAGGTACATGTACTTTGGTAGCTTTATAGGATGATGCCGTGCATTTTGATTGCTGAAGGTGTGGGTTCAAATCTCAGTGAGAACTTTTTTTTAAGTTTCCCAAAATATATATATTTTCTTATTTTCAAGGTTTTTAATCAAATCCTACTTTGTGTTGAAGCTGATTTAACTGTACTTTCTGATTCATGGCTCTGTCTGGATGATTTTTTTTAAAGGGAAGTAAATCCGAGAACCATTCTGTTGACAACTGATGCATGCAAACAATTAATTGTTGACTTCCGTAAAAATAGCAAGAGCATTTGTTAAAAAAATTAAATTACTTAATAGAAAATAATGTACTTGATTTTCTGTGGAATGGATTATGGATTGTACCTTTTTTGATGGATAAAGGTGATTCTATTGTCATATATTGTAACTATTTAAGAATTATACAAACTGGGAAACAAAATATTGTTAGACTTAAGGCAAAATAAAAAAAAAAACATGTTTAGCGTCCTGCCTTTTTGACAAAAAGGAAGGAGGAGGCCCTTTTTTTTTTTTTTTTTTTTCAAAATGGCCGCCCGACACATTTTTCAAGACAACGCGGCCGGGCTATTTTTCAAGATGGTTACCAGCTTTTTTCAAAATGGCCGCCACTTGGACTCAGGAGATGACATATTGGCTTCTTATGGGCAAGATGCAACAGAAAATGAGACCAAAATGATGTAACTATGCAGAACCGAACATCTCTTCTGCGCAATTGCACCATATTTAAAAAAAAAAAAAAAAAAAAAAAAGGAGGCGGCCTCTAAAAAGGAAGCGAGTGGGGACGCTAAACATGTTTTTTTTTTTACTTCGCCTAACGTTAGATCTATATATGAAATAATTTCACGTCATTTTAATTTTGTTACGCAAAACATTAATGTCTGATTTTGAGTAACTGAGATGTCAAATTGGAAATTTAACTTCTCGTTCCTGTTTTTCATATGAAAATGTTCTCGATTCCATGTTCCTATACATTGTTCACACATTGGCATCGTTGTTGGGCTTAAACTTAAAACTTATTGAAAAGCCAATTCGACGTCTTGTGTTGATTGTGGAACAATGACATTTTTGGATTTATTAGCAAACTCACGTGATGCATAAGCTTTCTATCTGTGGGTCAACTCAAGGACAGCTTGACGTGTTTTATCAAAAGATGCACTGTTGATGAGTTTGCACATATGCGAGCGAAATGTCGATTTGGCTTACATTACAATGAACTAAAGCATGCCTCTTTTTACCATGTTTACACCTTAATACATGCATTACACAAATTAAGAGTCAGCTTACTCTTTGAATGACAGTAGCCCCCCAAACCTATTCTCTTAGACTCTTCTACAAAAATGTGAAAAATATCCAACAGAAAAAAGGAAAGAATGTTGTATCCTGCATGTCCTGACGGCACTTCTTCTTTTTTTTTCGTCATAAGGCCTTGTATCTTCATAGAAGGTCAGTCATTGCCAAAAAATGTTGAGAAAAAACTGTTCAAATTCCGTCATGTTTATTCACTGTTATTAGAAAATACTTTGAAAATGAAACTCTCCATACACTTTGTACAAAACCAAAGAAGGGACGTCTACGTCTAGCTAGATACTACATTCTTTCCAAAACAAAGGCACTTACATTATTCACTCGACATTCGTGTTCTCCGTTCTGGACTAGAATTCAAACTCCAAGTTGTAAAGACGACAGCCAGAAATCAGAATCAAATTTTGCATGTCGTCTGCTCGATCGACAACCAAACTCGTGCATGTGAAAGTTGCATGCCGCCCTCTAGAGTAAAAACTTGTAGACTGGTTTTTCAATCAGTCAACAAAAAAATCCCAATAAATTTATCTAGCGCCCTCTCGTGACATAAAAATCTTGTTTCTTTTATTTTTTAGAGTCAAATGTATAGTTTCAGAAATTCCAGCGCACATCACAACAGAAAATAAACAAGTTCATTAAAAAACAAATACAATTAAATTTGTAACTTTTTCCGTTCGTTGCTGATGTGTTCTTTGCTCTTCCCCTCAAAGTTTCAGGCCTCATTTCCTTCTAGAATGACTGCTTGTCTTTTTTGTGTGTATGCTTCCAAAATTTATCTTTGCTGCTTTCAAACCTACTACTAAACATTCCAAGGTTTTTTTCTCAGGAGAGATTGTCAAATCGAATATTTGAAGGACTTAATTCTGGCTAGATAATGGTTCTAGTAGCATGACTTTTGCAGCGTGAGCTTTGGGAAATATAGTACCTTTTTGTAGGACTGATTGAGTTTTATTCTTTGCAAAGCAACCGCAGGCTATCCAAAAACTTCACCTGGATTCATTTTTGGAACAGTTCCAAGTCAAGAATCCTTAACAGTCCGGTTTGGAACAAATATGTGAAAAGTAAAATGAGTTGTTAGCATCAGTGGAGATTATTCTAAAAGGGGGGAGAGGGTCCTTCAAATTTCGTTATAAAATATTACACCTTATTTTATTCCTTATAAACGTCTAACCATAGAAACTAATAGTTATTTTTCTACTGGTTATTGATATTAACTTGGTTTTTGTTAGTGCAAATGTATAGTATTTTTACTAAAAGTAAAAAAAAAAAAAGTAAAAAAATCACAGGATGTTTATTGCACTCGAGTCCTTTGGGCATTTTATTAGTGGCATGCATTTGACTGAAGGCACAAAGCAAAGAGCTACAAATCCAATCAAGCCTTAAGCAGGAAGTAGGCCTGTTCTGAATCAAATTATTGACTCTCAAAAGGTACAAATCACAGTTAATTTTTGAATAATTTGATCAGATGGGGTTTTCCCCCGAAAGAGCAACATTGTACTATGGCAACAGAGATTTACTTTTGCAAAAGTTGTAATGAGCACTTTCCTGTTTTGTGTTTTTTTCACCTAATTAAAAAGGGTGACTGGATTTTTAAGGTTCTTTTTCCTCATCTTTGTCTTTGGCAGAAGCTTGTAATTTACTACTAATTAGTAATTTGCGGTTATTACTAATTGGAAAAGTATTGGAAATCAGTTGTGCAAAGTACATGTATACACGCACAGTACTGAAATAATTAAACAATGCATTATTTTGACTTGGATATAAACCAATATATTATTTTTTTTGGTTTAATAAACATATTTTTTTTTATATATATATAAAATTCTGCACTTGAAAATAATGAAACATAATAATGCATCGTTCTTGTATAATCCCAGGATCACTTTTTATCCGAAACGAAGAAGGAATTTATGAATTTAAAAAAAAAAATGTTTAATTGATATGGATCTCTGTTGGATACAGTAAGAGTAAATAAAATGAATTAAAATGCATAAACTCCAAAGAGTCTTTCATTTTTTTTATTTGTCATCTGTAGATGGTCCAAGGAAATATATTAACTTTCTTTAAGTAAAAGTTTACCAAAAGTTCATAAATAAATCTTTATAAGATAATTACTATGTTTATATACAAACACTGAAACATTCATGCAACATGAATTCAACGAAAAAATTTATGCGTTTAAAATATTTTGACTTAACAATAAACACAATGCATGCTATAGTAATATGTTCATTACCAAGTTTAAACTACAATGGATTTAATCCAAATAAAACAAATGTCTTAGAGACTGCATTGAAAAAAATATATAGCTTTCTTCACAGTATTTGGTTCAAAGGAATTGGGGAAGAGATGTGTGGAACATTACTCCATTTATTTGGAGTTTTTTCGGTGAAACTTTTGTTACATATGATATCTGCATATTCTGAATAATAGATCCCTTTTTCTTTGGCATCGGCACCCTTCAACCTTAGGTAGTTTTGCCACTGTGCACAATTTTCAGACCCAAATTTTGAGGAAGGATTTGAAGAAATTTTGTGGGCGAGTTTAAACTTTTAACAAAAAAAATGCAAAGCAGTAAAACTGACCCTCTCAAAATCAGTCCTACTTTTCTCAAGTTTCAATAGAGGGGGTGACGTGTTTTCCGTCCAACTTTGCTGGATCAAGAGCGTTCCCTACATACTGCCACTGAACTTTTCCATATGCCAAGAGAAGTTTAGGTTTTTTTTGGGGGGGGTGGGCCTACGATTATTGCACTGACACTTTCACTAATGCCGTTTCCCGAGTCATTGCCTTATTGTATTGCCTTATTGGAATGGATTGTCAATATTGATTGCCACCCCCAGTGTGGGAGTTGTATTATGCCGTACCAAGTTATGATTAACAGCTGCGATTACTGTTAAGGCAAACCTAACATTTGATCTGTCAGGATCTTGTTAAAACAAGCATTTCTATGTATGTTGGTAAACAGCTTTTGGCAAATGTACAGAAATAAAAAGCTTACCATCGACAACCTCTGTGAAGTCATTACAGAGGGACTTCTTGTTCATTTTAATGTTCATTTTAAGTACAGAACGTCCAATTTTTGTATTTTAAGATGATTTTTGCATTTAAAGAGTCGAGGGTTAAAACAAATTTCAGTCATGACGCAAACTGAAATGACAATTTGGCATTGTTGAAATGAGCTGAGTTGGCAAAAGAACCGAACGCAACTGGCTCAGATAAACAGGACACAGTTAACAAACTATTCAATTTTCTCAACCTTTGAAAACATGCATTATGTCATAAAAGTTGTTACTGTAAAATAATGTTATCATTGAAAACAGCAAGTACAGTCAAAGAAGGGATACAACACTGGATTAAGGATATGCTCTTTGAGAATCATTCGAGGATTGAGAATAAAATTAGGGTTATTCAAAAAAAATTAACTAATTCGGGATTCGAACCTGTGACCTCTGCTACAGCTGCTCTACCAAAAATGCTCTCAAGCAATGAAACCCACAAATGCTGCGTCCTGAGGGTCCACATACAATCTTCATATAGACCATTATCATGTTGCGGCCATCTTGATTTTTTTCCCATTCAAATCAACGTAACCAAATCGAGGCTGGAAGGAAAAATAGTCTGGTTCCTTTTGCACAAAAAACATTTTCATTCAGTAGAGTTATTGGATACAGGGAACATGACTGAAATGGTGGCAGCATGATAAAGGTCTACTGCTGCAAATTGAGACATGAAGATGGGATTGCGCTGAGATGATGCAGCTTTTAAAGGGGGGGGGGGGGGATGGCACACAAGAACAGGGTTTGAAACCGACCTACATGTCTATGTCTTAGAAACACCGAGCACCGAGTGCTGATGATAATGACAAATCTACATTTACACAAACTCAAGTGTTTCTCGTCTATCAAAGTCAGAATTACATCTGGACAGAAATTACCGATGGTAAAAAAAAAAAAAAAGGGGGATGATTATGACAAATCGAGTTGGTGATAACTGTTGCTTATCAGTAGAATGAACACGACTAGCAGAAATTCTGTTTAAAAGGTTGCGCACAGGCAAACACTGCGGAGCACAGGATGAGGATGGATTCGAAAAAGGTATCGGCAGGGTTTACTCTTAGACTTGGCGAGAGGAATGACAACTTGAGGAAAATGCAGCCTATGCTGTGTCGGAAATACTTGGCTGTAACGCAAGCGCCTAGTGGAAGCGGCCAAATCCAATTCTGATAGACAGTGTGTGTTATTACCAACTGTAGCCAAGTAAATTGGATGCAGAATTGTTCCCCCTCATTCAACTGTTACTTAATAGGGGATACTTGGAAAGGGTTCAACTACATGTAGTGCATAAAGTCAAGGAAATGATAGATCAGCGATGCCAGGCACCATGGGCATCGCCAGGATTTTTTTCTAGAGGAAGGCAAAGCACATTCCCCCAAAATTCCCTGTACTTTTCCAGCGTATCCTGGACTAATAATATTTCGAGGGGGGCAGGGACTTTTGCCCCCCCCCCCCCTATGAAATTAATAGGAGTATGACTCCGCACCTCTTTTTCTTTCTTTTTGTTCGTTTTTTTTTTCCTCCTTTTTTTTTTTTGTGGCTTTTCCAGAGGGGGCAAGTGCCCCTTTGCCCCCCCCCCCTCGCGACGCCAATGCCAGGCACAAAGCTTTCTTCAGCCAAAGTTTCACTGCCAAGGCAAATTTATTGTTTGGTTTTGGGAGGTTTTTTTCCTTTCATGCCGTAGGCCTTTAAACCAGGATTCCACAAAATGCCATACTCTGCCAAATTCAGCCAAGTTCCAAAATACAGGCATGGGACCTAACAAAAAAGGAGGACATTTCAAATTTTTTGACAAGAGTTTATACAGTGTTTTTCGACGTTTATGGCACCAGTGTGAAGTGAAAAAAAGTAGAAATTTATATATTCGGATTGGCTGGCCGGCTGGCAGTCATTATCATGAAAAAAAACCCCCCAAAAATGAAATAAAAAAATTAACAAGAACATTGTGATGTGCTTTTTCGAAGAAAGAGTCTTGGTTTTTTTCAGCCTCACCTGGATTTTTCAGGTTACAAAACCCAGAACATTGATTTGAATTTATGATCAGTCTGCTTCACTAACGTTTCCTGATGCGAAACCGTAAACAGAATCCCAGGCAAATGCGGGAAGGATTTCAACTCAAGATTCTCAGAAAAACTCCCACGGAGCAAAGGCCACACAAATAAGGCTTACAGTTTGTGGTGCCAGTAGGTGCTGATTTTTTTGTATTATTTTTTTGTATTTTTTTTTAGTTTTGAAGGGATGCTGATGTGGTCTGTAACAGCAAGAGTTTTATTTTAATTATGTCCAAGAAATATGTTTGATACGAACACCGCAGTCAAAAATATAAGAACTACGGTTGTTTCATTGTAAATGAGTGTGGATATCACCACAAACTCTTGTTCTAGAAATATATCTCAATTTTTTCTGGCAAGGTCTGAAAAAGTGAAAAGTTGAGATATATGAATGTGCTAATAATCAATGAGCAAAATTCACACATGGAAACACGGAAGTAATTTAAAATTGAAAGCATCAACTCACCAGTCAACCGTGCAGTGTTCCCCTCCGATACAGAATTGCTCATTCAAATCCAGAGAATATATCCACTGGCATGTATCACACGTGTGTATTCCTCAGAACTGTGCTATGTGAGTCCGGTGCACCATATGTGCAAGTTCAGTACGGACCCTAAACCAGCAAACGGTCATGTGCTCTGGCAAGCACGGACTGTGTGTACTGGTACAATATGGGCCGCTGTGACATCAATAATGGAAATACAACCCACGGATTTCATCAGGTTTTTTTCCTTATGGGTTTTTTTAATTTTTTTTTTTTTTGGTGATTGAGAGAAGGAGGGGGTGTAAAGGCACGGTGCGGTGGAGAGAGTCGTACCAGGCCAAGGAGTGGGGAAATCCGTTCTGCATTTTGGCAGATGCCGCGCATACTCAATAGATTTTAACGAGAGGAGAGAGAACCAAAAAAAAGTTAGCTTGGGGGAGTGCACCGGGGCCCGACGCCTACTCTCTGTGGGAGACGGCCGGGGCTGTGTGTCGACACGGAGAATGGACCTTGATGAGTTAGTGCCGACGATTAGGCAGAGCGATTGTGTGGGAAGCCAACGAAAACAACTCAAGCTTGGTGATGATCGGTGGATGTGGTGTATGGACCGACTTTAAACGGCTTTGATTAGTCACGTGCGTTATAACAGGTGTGCATAAAAAAAGATGTTGTGAATCGAGACGCAACAGGGAGAAAAAAAAAATCCGCCGTAATTATAGTGAGAAATCTGACGGGTAAATCAACAAGGAACAGTGTCAATATTTTATAACGCAGCAATGATTAAAAATATTTGCGGAGTTGAATAAAACAAAAATTGGGCACTATTTGCCCATGCTCAACCGATACCCTTTCTTTTTACTGCAGTTGTTTGGTGTTGTCAATGGCCAAACTATGATTTTTTACACCTTATGAAATGCGTTTGGCCTAAAGGCTTTCAAACCTACACAATAACATCAGCATATAGGTGGGATTGGCCATTATGTTTTGTGGTGAAAAAAGCTTTGTGGTGAATACATGAACTGCAGGTGATCTGAAACTTCAACACTTTACAGTAGATTTTGAGAGCTGGCAGGAAAAAAAAAACTTCCAAGTAAATTACAATCAAATTAGCGGTTGTATTGACAAATGAAATTTAAACAAATATCCAAAACCAAAAATTAGCAATAGATAATAAACGAGTTGTACATTAACCAGGGGAAAGTGCACGTAACAGGGGAAAGTACACGTATTTCAGAAAATAAGGAATTGAAAACATTTGATATAGTCATTTGATAGTAAAATGATCCCACTGCACTTGCAGAACACACTACGTGCGTATGTCAGACAGTTCGACTGCGAACATTTTAACGAATTTTACAGGTGTCAGTGGGATGAAAACAATTCATCTTTGAGCAAACCTGATGAAAGTAAAACCACATACAAATGAGGATTCTTGTCAGACATTTGTATGTTACATGTACATGTACGTACAGCAAAGTGTTTTTCCAGATCAGAATAATAGGGCCTATATTGCTGTTGCTATGGGCTTACCAATCATAACATGGATTCAAATTTGCTCAAAGATGTCGATTTAAAATTCATACGCTGAATGTCCAACCAGCCATGTTTTGCCCGAACTATGTAGGTACTTGTAGATGTAGCTACTTGTAAAAGTACAGGTGACGAACTCTCACATCCGAACTCCCTGCTGGTTGCAACAAGAAGGATGCATCTACAACAAAAATACAAACACACACAAAACAAAAAATGGAATTTCAAAAGGAGTTATTGCTGTGTCCGCAAAAATTGACTCTCAAAAATTGAGCTGTCCGACTTTGTGTGCTAGTCATGAATCCTGTCACATGAGCTCCACCAGTGCATCACTTGCTGCGGACGTGCAGGAAACAACGTTTGCTTTGGTGAACACTGTGTGTGCACGCACATGTGACGTGAACCACACATTGAATCGTCTGACAGACGAAGAAGACTTATAAATATTTTTATGGCTGGAAATATGTATGCGAATGCCACATGTACGCCATGTCAGAATGGTGACTGCTCTATGTTCTGACCCCCGTATGTTCCGACACCCCTATGTTCCGAAAACCCGCACATAAGATTGTGTACTTAGTGTTAGGGTTAGGGTTAGGGTTAGGGTTAGGGTTAGGGTTAGGAATATGTGCAGTCAGAACATAGGGGTGTTGGAACATAGGGGTGTCAGAACATAGAGGTGTAACGGTCAGAAGTTGTGTCAAGTTTCTTTGGGGTATTTTTTCAATCAAGTTTTTTGGGGGTATTTTCAAAAACAGTGTGACATATTGGTAATTGTTGTTTTGGGGGTATTTTTTCAATCAATTTTTTTTGGGTATTTTTCAAAAACAGTGTGACATATTAGTAACAGTTTTTTGGGGGGTATTTTTTCAAAAACAGTGTGACATATTGGCAACAGTTTCCTTTCAACCAGACCTTTGAAATTGGATAAGTAAACAATCTTAAACACAAATATTTCGGCGATTTCAGGACGAAGTTTCCCTGAAACTGGTGATCTACAATCTTCATTGTACAAAATTCCTTTTCAGTATTAAAATTAAACAATTCCTTTTTTTTTTACATTTAAATTGCAGAAAAAGCATTCCTACGTGCAAACCTTTTATTGCCAAACAACTGCCTTGAATTACTGAAATTGCTGGTACCAAATACTCCCCCATCCATGTCATTTGTTTTTACAGAACAGATAGATCTAACCACAACATCAATATCCGGCGACAATAAATAATGGCTCGGTAAAATGCCCACCCCCTCTCGGTCAATCTCTAGCCCACGCCCACTCCGTAATTACTCCGCACAGATGCCACTGTGGGTGGAATAATTGACACGGTTGCCCGACGCTCGCCTGCCTGTTAACTGGGCATCGTGCTTATCGATGTTGCGTGGTTAATTGCTACAGCACGCTTAAGACTTCAATTCAGACTGCTTTGGTTTGTGTCTGGCACACGACAAAGTAATGTCCAATTATCTTCAAGCAAACTTGGATTTCTCGATCCTGATTGGTCGATTCCATGGCAACAACAGTGTGATCATTATTCTATTAAGCATCGTCCAATTTCTTGTGACCCAGAAATTTAACTCTCCTACTGTTAAAACAGTCACAGACAGTCAAAAATTCCATCAACTTCCCCTGTCAGGCCTTCTACACCTGTAGGCTTGTAATAAACAGTATGATCATATTTCAAGCAAGCATTCCGACTAGTCAAATTCAGTCAACAGCCCAAAGCAGGAAACTGGTAGGCACAGCTGTCTTATCAATCACCTACAGTCAAAGCACATAGCTGCGTCAAGTTACATAAACAGTCACAGCCAGTCAATCCTGCTTTATGTAGGCTGGGAGCTCCTAACTGTTGAAAACAGTCACTTGATTGATTATTTTGACTGAAAGGACAATGTATGTTTGCATAGGAGGGTTAAAAGTAAACAATCAAAAGCACTCAGATGAATGTGCATCTTTATCTTGAAGCCACCTCCTCTAGCCAGCCAGCCTCCCAACCTCATTGCATGTCCAGTAGACCAATGCAGACAGGTGGGTGGAATATTGAGAAATGCTTGCCGCTACACCTGCACCATATGGTCCAGCCATTTCCACACTTTGGATGCCGTTTGGATGCACCAAATCAATAACTCCTCTCCCTCTTCCAAAGCTATGTAAAATGTATGTGTACATTTACTCTACGTCTACACATATCAGCTATGTGATGAACATGCTGATGATAAATTTATCAACAAATCAACTCAGCTTAGGAGAATAATTACAGGAATCTTGGAAAGCCGCATTTATTTGGGATCATTGTGTGTTTTTTTGCCAAGCTTACATGTATCTGGTGCAATTTGCACTCATTATCAAGTTTTTAATTTCCCTTTTTAAAATGGACTTAATTTAACAATTTAGTTTCTTTTGATGGTGAGAATCATTTTCAGCAATAAATTTTGTGACTAGTTACTTGAACCGGCCGACTTACACGTACATCAGTACAATGAAAAATACTAGGTGGTGTGTTAAACCAAACTCCCACACAAGTGTTTATACACATGCCTGCATGCCCAGAAGTTCACGATGAAATATTCATGTTTTCTTTTAAACCCCTCGTAATAAAAAGAAGATTTCTTTAAAACGAACGACTGGAGGGTTTCGGGGAGTAAATATCTCCAAAGCGGCCATTGATCATTCCCCGGGGTGTCATAGGGGCCCTTGAGCCAGGAAATGCCTTGAGAATTATCAATTCTTCTGCCACTGACACACACAACAGCAAATCCTATTGGTAAGAATTGGAGAAAGTCTGCAGGCCGTTCTGTGCTTTCCTCCCGACTGCGATATGCCAATTGATTGTCTCCTGTCCGGCCACAGAGTTCCTCTTAAAGATGCATTCCCCGTGCTGTTTTGAGTTTCACCCCAAAATATACATTTTTTGTTCAATTGTTTTTTTGCTAAATTTTGCCTTTTGCGAAAATCGAAATTTTGGCAAAAATAATCCCGGCGCGATGTGGTTAACAAGCATGGAGCACGCATCTTTAACTATTTTCCTCATGTTTCCATGTACCATATGGCAAAAGATGACCTTGCAGCACATTGGTGAATTACAAATTAGACTTCTTTTTAGCGTTGGGTAGTTTTTTTGCCTTCACCCTAACTCCCTAGTGTCTTTGACTACATGTAAACTTACTGGACCAAGTCTGCCAAAATGCATCACAGACTCTGCTTCACATTATGCTTCAGGACCATATCCGCTGAAATCCACCACAAGACCAAATGCTATAGGTGGATTTTGATGGACTTAGTAGTCATGGCTTGCCCAGCAAAATCCCCCCAAAAGGGGGGGGGTGGATTTTGATGGAGTTGGGGAGGTTAGAGTCAATCAAAAAATAAGAATAGCTTGTCTAGCATGCATTCAAATATTATTTTAATAAAATGACATCACAAGTGACTTAAATTTTGTTTTTCCACAGCTATTTTGTTTGACGTAACCAGCAAAAAAAGGCACAGAAATAGGGGTGGGGGCGGGGGAGAATAACAGGGTACAGGGAGAAAATACCCTCTCAAATTTTTTAACAGGGAAGATAGGCCATCACAACTAGCACCCAAATAGCTCGACTTTTTGGGGTCGCAAAAGTGGACCCCGAAAGTCGTTCTCACACGCATAATAAAGGAACAACACAAAAACGCCCAGTTTTTAAAGGATAGTTGTGTGGATGTTTATATCCTACTTTTAAATGTTCTTTCTGATTAACATCATTTCGTTCAAAGCGCGTTTTGCAGCCCAATTGGGCTGTTTCAGGACGCAGTGTCCCCTTAAGTGAAAATCAATATGAACATGAGTATACTGTTTTTCATTACCACGCAACTTTTTCAATTTTATTTTTTATTTTGCGTTTTGCAAATTAACTCTTAAATTATACAAATTTGAAGAAAAAAAATACCTTGAAATTTGGCACTCACCTTTTCTTTAGACGTTTTGGGTAAGAATTTGATATCCTGCAACTGGGCCATCCAGATTGTACTCAGACTGGAATGCTCCAAGGTCAAAACTCCCTCTGCGATCAGGAGCCGTAATCTCGGAATTGCCGAACTCTCGCGGTTGCTCAAAGACGAAGAACTGGTAGCGATGGGCTGGGCCCCTTGGGGGACTCGGGGGCGCGTAGTCTATCCAAAAAAAAAAAAAAAAAAATTGACATAAAGAAACTCAAATTTTTTTTGTAGCACTTCTGTCCTGGAATGGAAGTTATTGATTGTTCACAGAAAAACAAGTCCAGCAAATGATTTTCCATTTCATAACGGCAGGGTTGTTTGATTATTTAAATCATTGACATAAATCATGATTATTGTGAGCAGTTTGTTTACAGAGAGACATTGCAAGATGGCGGCGTCCACATCGACACACAGCGGAATTTCCAGTGGTTTATTACGTCCAAACAGGAAAAATCGGTAAATTAAATTCCGTAGCGAAAGAGTTAACTTCCCAGTGTGTGTTGTATGCAAATTGTTGGTTTACGAATGGTGCAAGGCACGTTACATCTTCTTAAGATTTATAGAAGTAGTGCCTAGAAAGTACATAATTAATTAGGCCAAAAAAATAATAGTTCTGCTTCCGGTTACCCTACCTACCCCTTATATTTTGGGGGGGAAAAAAATGAGGAAAAATCCGAAAACCATCAATTACTACCTTTTACCCTTTTCTACACATAGACACCTCCATATGATTGTACACACAAACTTAAAAATTGCCAAAATAATGTCCCTACCTACCTACCCTATTTTCAAATGCCATGTAATCGGAGGCAGAACCATATTTTTTATTGGCCTTACAATGTACATGTAGTTTACATGTACAATCAACAAATGTTAATGTTTGAACAGAAATAACACTTAAACAGATGACAAACTTGTCTTCCATAGTGAGTCTTCCACTCATGTTCAGTGTTCCATAATTTCATAAATCCCTTAAATGAAGTGAAGCTAGTGAGTCGGTTAATTTGTCCCTTTTAAATAGGAACAGATATTTTCACAGATGGGTGTAAAAAATTTGTCAGATTTTTTTCAATTTTTCCCCTAAGTTCCCCCCCCCCCCTGCCCACATATCCCATTTTCCGACTACTCCCCCAAATTTTCCCGAAGTACCTAATTTCCAATTACTTTTTTTTACCGGAAATTTCCAAAACTCATGGAAATTGTTCTAAAAATAGGATCTGCAAAATATATAAATTGCTATATTTTAGCCCCATTCAGGCAAAAATAGCAGCTGCTCATGCACATAAACAAAATTATGTACACTTACCCATTTTACCGCTTCCACTGCCGTGATATCCACTGGCAAAATTGTCCCCCTGAACAAAAAAAAGTAAGTGAAACAAAACGCTTAAAAAAACAAAAATAGCACCAGGCAGAATGAGGAATGCTAGAATTGAATGGACACTGTTTGTATGTTGAAGGGATGGCAAATTCTGAATTTCCAAATTGAGTAAAAAATTTTTAAAAATTATATAAATTATATAAAAAAATTCAATCCTCAATCCTCCAAATTCAACCGTTATTTCTCGAATGTGGTCCTTGGAGGGGTGACCACTGACCCAATCCTGCAAAATCCTCCAGCAATCACTGTCAATTTGTTGAGGCAGAGCCAGTTACATCCTGGAGCAGTGCGGAGGATTTCAAATATAATCTAGGCCTAAATTTATGCACGGCTGAGCATAAACAACACAATATCTGAGCATAAACACAAGGTCTGTCCTAAGACCTTGACACACTGCATCCTCCCAAAACAGCCACACATTTTTGCCATATAGCCTCAATCCTTCAAAATCCTCCAATTATACAAGGTTTTGGAGGATTTGGGAACGTTTGGGTTAAAACAAAACACACAAATAAAACATTCAAAATTTTTTCGCACCTTTAACAAAAACAAAAAGAATCCTCACCTTAATGTTGATAACAAGCCAGTGCAGCCAGTATGCTTGTCCTCGTGATGCTGGTGCATCAGGGTCTACCATCACCAACGTATAATACTTGTTGTCCTGCAAAACAGACAAAACATGAAAAGTCAGTAAATTCTGTCTCGAGCCATATGGCCCATCACGCTGGCGTTTATCTCCGACCAAGAATATGGACGGGATGCCAGTCCATCACAGGTTACTACTTACTCCTAAGCCAATGCAGGTACTGTTTAAATACTCCTGGGTGGAGAGAAGTGGCTTGCCCAAGGACACAACATATGACCAGTGATAGGATTCAAACCCCTGACCCTCTGATCATGAATCACGAACCCTAACCACTAGGACACACTCCCCCATCAGACAAGAACTAGTCAACTGAAATTAAATATTGAACCAGCCAAATTTGATCACGGACACTGAATAAGCCAGGAGTAAGCTTTTAGAAACACCCAGAGACAAAATGCCAAAAACCCCTTAGGCAGTATTATCATTTTCTGACACACAGCTTATTCCCTAACCTAAGGAACTCCATCAAAATCCATCCCTTCATTTTGGGGGATTTTGGCCCATAAGCCATGTGTACCAAGTCCATCAAAATCCACCAGCACCAGTGGTGGATTTCAATGGATTTGGTCCTGAAGTATTATGTGAAGCAGAGTGAGCGATGGATTTTGATGGACATTGTCTTCTACTTAGTAAAACTAAGTAGGGAATTGGGATTTAAAGATAAAAGCTTAAATAAGTAGGCCTATAGCTTTAGCTGACTGCCATTTCTGGAAAAAGGGCAAATGTGCAAACTACAAACACATGGAGAATTGGAATCATTCTACACAGCCAAGTGTGCGCCAGACAGCTTATGTATCCCTCAATTTCTCCAACATGTATGATAACTGTTTTCCACAGAAAATAAATTTTGCACTTTTATATGTCAATGCAAAATAATATTATTAGGCCTAAACCTAAACCATAAAATTTTTTTTATAAAATGCTTAGTCTACATTTGATACAAACTCATATACCAAACAATTCTTGACTTGTCTTTTCAGATTTTTTTATTTTTTTTATTTTCCTTAAAACATGAAAAATACTCCAAAGTACATCACACACCCTGTGACAGTGATCCTTCAATTTAAAAAAAAAATCATGGGCCTTCTCCAACATGTATTTGCACTTAAATAGGCCCGATTTAATTGCAAAAAATGTTCCGAACAATTGTCAGTGTCTCATATTTTCATACGTATGCAATTCATTTTCTAAAGTCCCTTTTGTCTCTTTGTCTCTTCACACAAAGCATTTTCAATATTGATTATTGGCAAACAGTTTTCCATGGAACAGATGGAGGAAATATGCCCCCGCACACTATGCAATAACACGCAGTCAGAACATGTGGTATATGCATGCATAAATTACTGGCGCAGTTGATTTTAATCTGTCTGCAAGAACATGATTATGGGTGATATTAAAATCTACATTACTAAACCATGTCACTATATTTAAAATGAATGTAAGATTTTGTTGACAAAATAAACAAAGTGAAATAAACATATTGAAAGCATACACATATTTTGCACCTATCCTGAATGAAAACGACATATTTTGGGCATCAAGTAGGGTATGGAGTAGGTTCACGATATGGAAGAGCGGTTTCGATGCCATCTCACAATGATGCACCGTGAAAGCCATCAAAAGGATAAAAAGAAAGCCCAAAACAGAACTGCATGTGCATTCAATAGTGAGGCATCAACAAGAAAATCAAGAAATGAACTTGTATTTTATATCAAAATGATGTCCAAAATATTTCTTTGAAAGATGAGTTGAAAGATGATCGCTCAAGGGTACTGAAATGATTAAAATACTATAACATCATCATTACCCTGTATGTTACTGCTAAGAAGAGCAAGACAAATCTAGTCCGAAAATTTGGGACTCTCAATATGTGTATGACTATGAAAGTCCCAAATCTTAAGGTATTGAAAACATGCAACACAAGAAAATAGACTGGCACCTGAAACAACCAGTCCAACAACACTGTATCAATCAACTGAGAAAGACCTAATAAAGTGGAAGGGACATTGAGCTTCTGGCCTTCACTTCTTGGAAAATTCCTGGAAAGAATGTTGCCACTTTTTGTTTTAATATATCATCTCAATGAAGGTCAGTCATTTGTGGGGGAAACAATTGATAGACGCATTACAGAAATTGCACTTGACTCTCCATAGCATAGCCTTTGCAAAAAAACAAAGAAGTGGGTGTGTGGATACAACAGTCTTTCTTGGTTGCTAATTACAAACACAAGTTTCCCAAGTTTCAAATCATACCCCTCCAACCCCCCCCCCCCCCCCCCCCCCAAGCTTGCGAATCAAAATGCCGCCCACCTCGGTGACATCCGCATCCAGGGTCACGTCTCCAGGAGGTTTACCGTTGCTGAACACGTCCAATGAAACCGTCTCACCACAAGGATAGCGTTCATCCCTGTATGTCACTTGCAGACCGCCAAGTTGGCATGGATTGCTGCTTTCAGGTATCAGCCCGGCAGTGGCGGTATTTACGATAAAAGCCGAGGCCACAAGAAGCAAAAACCGAGCCATTTTGTGAAGCTGAGTAGCTGACTGAGATGAGAGAGATAGCTGTGTTCCCAAAAATAAAAACAATCCAGTCAGCTAAACAAAAGAGCGCCCGCATCGCTCCATAATTTGTACACGCAGTGCGAGCATAATGAGGGCGCTCTTGTCAATTTCAGTTATTTTGAGTCGATGCAGTTTTCATTTCATTTCATTTCAAATTGGTTTACTATAAAGCATCATGAATCGCAGCCAAGGGCTGAATTGCACATGATTTACATTTTCGTTTGAACAGCTAAAAAAATTACAATAATACTATAACATTACACTAAATATGATATATATGTTAAAATGTTCCTGATAAAGCTTGCACAACACATCACAAGAAAACAATTAAAATATAATAAAATGAAAAGTTCCCCCAGTCTGTGAAAACTAAAACCCAATTTTCGTAAAAACAAACAGTCACATTATAAAAACATTGGATATTATACTGTAAAAAGCCTCAATTAATCCAAGTTTGAATTGTTGGCCTTGTTCAGTAAACTGATTAAGTATGGGAGCGCACTTTTCTGCATACGCGTTGATTTACAACGGGGCTCAGGATACTGATTATGTCTCCTAGATGACATCCTATTCGTATGTTCAGGGGGGAGGAGGTTTCTAAATTTAGATGTAATCAAAATTCAAAGAATGTACTAAGTTGGGCTAGATTACACTAATGAGTTAGAACGTAACCATGGTTACATGGATACTGCCAGCTTTGTCAGTTTGTGCTCACGTGGTAGCTTAAGCTTTGGCAGCATATCATTGAAAATAGTGATAATTGTCATGCAATTATATTATCCTGACCATGATGGCAACCATCTCTATTGGAAAAATAAATAATACATTATAAGTAACCAATTACTTGTATATTGCTGGGCTATCCAATAAGCCAAATCAGACACAAGGAAGGGGGAAAATCACTAGGTAACCGGATTTTATTTTAGCCCCTTGCTCAGTCACCACGTTGTAATTTTTATCTTCCAAAAGTTGGCCCAACAGGGGAAAAATTACGTCCACCCATCGTTGGTGAACTAACTTAATCAGCCGTTGTCCCGTCGTCGAAAAGTTTTATCGCCGGGGCCGCCGTAATACGCCGACACGTCGTATGGACGTTGGCCCTTTTGAACAAAAATACTTCGACCTAACGTTGGTAAAATAGCAACATCCCCATTAGAATACTGAGCATCCCCAGTAGAGTGACATCCCAGTAAAACGACCCATCGGTAGGATGGCACCCCCAACAGAAATGACATCCCGAGTAGAATGACATTTACAGTAAAATGACAATAATAATATCCCCAGGGTAGAGCGACATTCCCCCGTATAGAGTGACATCCGAATGTACTGACGTTCCCCAGATGGTTTAGAAGGACATCCCCGGTAGGATGGTAGCTCCATCAGAATCACTTACGCAGTATGATGACTTTACTCAACATTATTTAATAATTTGTTAGGCAGGGCCTCAATGGAAACCATTTTTAAAAACTGTTTGGGCATACCCTGGGTAAAAAATGAATAAATGAATAAATAAATAGAGGACTCTCTATTAGAATATCATCCTAAATAGAGCGACATCCCCAGTAAAAAGAATTACATTCCCAGTAGAATGATATTTAAAACCACTTTTTAAAACTGTTCAAAGGCCTGCAAAAACAAACAAGCATATTTATTATATTCCATTAAATTTTGTTTGGAAAAGAAAATCGAAATTTTGAAAAAGGGCGTACCAACTTCAAGTATTTCATTTATTTTGTTGCTTTATGTTTTAAATTAAAATCTAATAGTTATATTTTATGAGAAACTTAGGGGCTTATATTGGTCAATTTTCCGGGGACCGACCGACCGACCGACCGACCGACACCACCAAGTGACATGTAGAAGCTCCTGCACTGTCGATGCAACAAAGTTGGCCATAAGTAAAGATCAAGAAGAGCGCCGCCAAGCATTCTGGAGCGATGATTCGAAGCAGGGAGGAAAATAAAAAAAAACAATCCGTCGTCTTTGATTGAAGTGAGCAATTTGTAGTTCAGACCGGTGATTTAATTGCCAAAGACAATGATAAAGTACCTTTAACGTTTAAAAACTCTGAATAAGAAGTGTCTCTGTCCAAGACTGGCTCCGGGTTTAAGTAGCTGAATCTGGAGCGGCGATAGAGGGCGCTATGAGCAGGTGCCCATTCGGGTGCAGACCTGCAAATTGACTCCCATAGACTCAGTGATAATTACGCGTACTTCCGAAAATTATCTAAAAGTACACACAACTCTCCATGGTGTTTGAGACACCCATCAAATTAAAGCTTATTTCATAATTGTTCATTTTCTGTTCAATTTTCTTCAATTATCCCATGACTTTTGGGAGAAAATTCCAGGCGCGGATCCGGGGGAATTTGTTTGTTCCCACTGAATCACCTGTTAATCAGAGGGTTGCCGGGGGCCGGGAGGGGGGTTCTGGTTGGATAAAATATACATGGTGAAATTTTGTTAATTAAAAAAACACACAAATTTGCTGAGGAACAAACAATGATATAAATTGCTTTGCGAGGAATGGTTACCAGTCCTAACGTAATGCATGAGTCGTGTATCGCTTGAGACTGGTTCCTAGCTGAGACTGAGTAATAAAACTGCGAAAAAATGTGGGTTCACACCTGGTTCATCCACCGAGCTCATGACAATTGGTATACCCTCAAAAGAGAGTTCTGAGAGCCATAACATTGGGGAACTGAAGAGATATGGCAATGAACCTCTGGCGCTGCAATTCTGAGCAATTGGGCCCGAAAGTGGCGCTATTTTGCCATGTTGTAGAGGGATTGTTTTTCAAGATGGCTACTTTTCCGCTTTGGGAATAATAGGGGTCTTCTTCTTTGGGTGAGAATTTCTCGAAAAGTCAGCGATCAACTTACCAAAAAATTGAAATGAAAATGAAAGATGACATGTTGATCATCATTTTTTCTGTGCAGCTTAAATACCTGTGAGCGTTCTGAGTAGTTTTAAAAGAATTTTGAAGTATGGGCATTTAGCAATGGTGTCTATGGGTATTTAATACAGGGGTGCTTTCATGTGTTCTGCTTGTGAGCTTCGTGAACTTTGACCCCGATGTGCGGCATCAACACGAGCTAAACTGCCGTTAATCTATCTTTCAATTTTCCGCCAAAGTCAGCGAAGAATCCTTCTGTATACTTGAATCCGGGCCATGAAATTGGAGCGACTTTTCTTCCGTCTTTTCAAAGTGCAGTCTCATCATGCTCATGTTTTCAAAGACACAGGCTTGGTTACCAGGGATACAGGGATACCAGCCAGGCATCTCGTCTCTTGATCCGGAAACCAACCTTGTTTTGGAAGTTCAGGGGATTATAGGCCAAACATTGGTCCCGGCTTAGAAATCGTAGTTGATACAGTAATCTAGACATCTAGAGTCAACATGGGTGAGGGAGAGGAATATAGACCGGCGGGGGTTGCCGAGATTTATCCTTTTATTATAAATGATGTCCATTCATAATCTTGTTATCTCTGTGACGAATTTATTGGTTAAAGGCCATCGGATGTCCAATTATGTAACTATGATATTATCATTAACTTGCGCTGCCTGTCAGGGTCACTGGCTACCAAGACAACTCCTCACATCAGACTCCTTGCCTAATGTCTAGACAGTGATGTTTCTTTCTTGAACTTCAGCTAGCACCCCTTTTCTGCCAATTTCTTTCTCAGCTTCTCCAACCACCAAAAAAAAATATCCACAAAAATGATGTGGACAAAGACCTCCATCCATCTTTTTACACCGTGACAACGGTTTGCTTTCAAAGTATGAAGTTATCTTTTAAATATCCCCGTTCAGTGTTTAGACTTCATGCCAAGCCGTTTAACATTCGTGTTTTAATTTTGCCCCTGATATCCACTAGCGCAGCCTCTTAGCTGTGTTCATCTGTTGGGTTTCGACATGGGAGTCTACTCACACGCATGTTGGGGTCGAGGAAGAACAACCGTCCCCGCACTGCGGGACATGGCGGCCGCTGCGATGACAAACGTACCCAACCGTTATAGATTACCGACTCGAAATCAAGTCTAGTTAAGCGTAATTCCACTCCTTTCACAAACCAGCTTCGTGAAAACTCGGTCAGATAGCTAGCTAGCACTGACTCCACCGATCGACACAAAAAAAACACCACACGTGCCCCGTGCGCTCCCCCAATTACCCGCTGCAGGAAACAGTAAACTCCTATCGAGATGTCATCTTCCTTATCTAATTAATTTGTGATATCCCAAGTTCGTGTGCCTTCCTTTTATTCGCGTTCGAAAAGTGCTTCTGGGCAAAGTTGCATTTGATAACAAAAAATGCTGTAAAGGTCTATCTGCCGGACGTGTCAAGTGTATGTTTTTTTTCTATCACAATTTTTTTTGGTCAATTATTGTTGAGTTTTTGGTTTGCGCGAGCCGCCAACTCTTTACTCCAGTTTTAATTTGATGCAAGGTGTGTTTATGTTATAACCGGCCCGTCCTGCTTTTAGTGGGTGGCTGGACCCGTTTAAATAAAAGTCTTAGCTGAAAGCAACATTTTTAACAGAAACCGTAGTTAATACATAGATTAATAATCAGATTATTTGAGAGCTGCGAGTTGTTAAGATAAAGAAAAATAGGACTGTGAGTAAGGTCACGTGGTGCCCAAATTCCATTTTTGTTTCAGTTTGTTTTTACATTATTTTTGGCCCCGTTTTCATGGAACAAAATCACGCAACTGTGGATCTAGGATCACATGATGGGGGCATGACACACACACACAGACGAAACAAAGCCGGGTGATAGAGCTGGACATAAGAAAAACGATAACCACCTTTGAAAAAAAATGCTGCTTCATTCTATCAAAATTTCCACCACTGTCTTTTCAACCTTGTTGAGTGACCGTGACCGACACCATACCCTTCCCAGCTCGCTTTTGGTTGACGGGTCTCGACTATATCTACACCAAACCGTAATGACAGGGCTATTTAAAAGGTTGTTGTTGCAATAGTGGGAGCCATTTTAACTCAATCGTGCTTCAATACGGGGCCCCTATATGGCTCCCAGAGACATTGGAGTGGTCTCGTTGCCGTGGCCCGAGCAACGCGAGTCTCGGAGAGGCACCGCCGGGGCACTCGTCCCATCGACCCGGTCGCTAAGCACTCCACGCCGGCCCGTGTGTTTGCGCTCCCTGATGGGGCCCCCGATAACACCGCGCCCGTCATTCACACTGCTATCGCCCCAGATAAATCAGCCCCATCACATAGGCAAACTAATTGCCATTTATTTTCTAATTTTCCTGTTGACTTAAGAAATTTGGGCGATAGCCTTTGCCCACCCTCTGCGAAGCCTCGGTGCTTTATGTAAAAAAAATAAAGGAAAATAAAATGTACACAAAATTGCGGTGGACGGTGGGATGAAGTTGAGTGACGCTTGTATGCCAGGCATAGGGACCGTAGCTTGCCGGGCGGCCCGCTCGCCTGGCCAGCCGTTGCTCCGTCTCGTTACAAAAAACAGCAATTTTCAAAGGATAGATTATACCAACGCATCTTCGACTATAGGCTACAGCATGGCCCAATGGCCGACTCGACATCAGTCCCAAAAATAAAATCCACAAACATGACCCTACGATGATAATATCCACCCCGCCTATATATACAAGTGCAAAGCACCGTGTATCAACTATAAATACGGCCGTGCCCTGGTCTTGCCCACCCATTAATACGAGGCCGACACAAAAAGAACATGAACGCCTTCCTTAGATCTTGTTCCGCCTCCAACAATCGAGGACTCGCCCTGAAAGGAGAGCAAATTTGCCCCAGGATTATTGAAAAAATTATCCTCTTGGGGCAAGTGTTGACTCGTCAACTTGGGGGAAAAGAGTTCACAAGGGGAACGGTTTAACCAACAAACAAATATCAACACCAGCTCCGAAAAATTATATACACATTGCACTACGTGCACACTACAAAGCCAGCGGAACAAAGGCAAACAAAACGAACGGGGAACACTATTATACCAACTCCCCCACCTCTTGAAACGGCACCGAAAATTTATGTCTACTCCAAAATTAAGTCATTTTGATAAAACACTATTTTAGGCGTAGTTGGGTTTCGGATATTCATTTCAATGATGTGTTGTCAAAACAGAATCAAAGCGCTCGCCTAATATCAGACGAACCAGATTTTAACCCAAATGATGATGTAAAGCGAATGTTCTATGAACTGTGCTTTGATAAAGAAGACCCTTTAAGGCTCCTTTTCCTTTTCGATTTCTTTTTGGACCAAAAACTTAAAATTTCTATTTTCCTGTTCGTCTTGAACAGTCTCTTTAAAACAAATTTATCCTTAAGGCCTATGTGACTTTTGCCTACAAAAGGGTCCAACTTCGCCTGACAAAGTTGCTTGTCATGATTGACAAAATCTGAATCTAATTCCTGCTGTTTTTTCCCCAAAGAAGATAGCCACTTTTTTTCCAAAATTGGTAGAAAAACAAATTTACACCACTCTGATCTTGATATCTTCTTTATTATTTTGCCATTTACGCCTATTTTCATATTCACAGTTATAAAAATCATGTTTCGCGATCGTCTTTGCTGTATAATATGGTAACTCTGAAGTGAAACTCCGGTCCGTTTAGATACAAGTTTAAACCGAACAAACCGAAACAGATCATCCTTGTGAAGTTAAACATAAAAACTACAACGAATATGCCTCTCGTCGAGAAAGGATTTTTAAAAGAGCGAGCAGTCTAAGGTTCCAAGTTTGACAAGCAAAATATTAGGCCTACGGAACTTCCGTTTGCGAAGAATCGGATAGCTTGCGTGTAATCGTCACCGCACGCAGTGCATCGGCAGTGATAACGTACGGCATCCTCAAAAGCCTGAACTGCGCCTGCTCCGTCCGTCTGATGTCATAGCGCCTTTGTCGTGACCAGCGAGGGGGAGGGGGAGCCGGTGATAGTGAGCGCTATGGACGGGGAGGGAGGAGTCGAGATAATTGATAGCCCACCAAACTCGTCTCATAATATTGGATGATTTTTTTTTCTCTTCAACCCCATGAACTGATGATATCCAAAGCTTAGCCTATACCATGCAGGCGGAACGCGGGTGCGGGTGGGAAGTTAGAGTTAGTCAATTCAGATACCATCATGTCTTGTGTCATAATTTTGGTTCATTTTTTTGGCGCGAGTGGCACTTGCGATTCGGGCCTACAAAACACTGATTGAAACAGTCAACGAAAACTGAAGTTGGCACTCGCGTCAGATGATAACAGTGGTCGACTTGGAGTGTGACTGGTTTTGCACAGGGGTCAACTTGTGCCGAAAGGTCACGAAAAGCTATAGCGACGCCCGCTACTGACGAAATGATGAAAGAAAAAAAAGATATATGCTACGGACATGCGTATCCATCATAACACCCGAAGCGCAGATCTCTAGCAGAATATAAACAGTTGGCAAGGTGACTCCTGGTAACTCTGGGGGTATTCTTCGCGCAGTGAAAGATATTCTTCCAGTTCGGAGAGCGATCTTTTTGGATATTCCTGACTGACTGGACGGTTCCGAGTTTCTCTCTGTTAAATTTTTCTTCGGCTACCGACTGCGCGAGTGAAGACCGAGGGTGAAGTGCGGTCGGCCCGGCGATGCTCAGTCAACAGTGCGGTGGGGACGACTACGGTATCCACGGCCAGCCACCACACAGTACCGGCACTTTGCCGGGCTCATCGGCGGGGATGTCCCCGTACGCCCGGCCACACCGTCAGCAGCAGCAGCAGCAGCAGCCCGGACTGCGGTCCACCGGTTCGTCCAAGATCGACCCAAGGTATTCTCATTCCGCTATACGCAGCTCTCCCGTCACCCCATTTCCCTTCCGTTCCTCGTACTTTAAACTACGTATCTATCAATTGAAACCCATTAAGGACTGGACTATAAAAGAAAATTTGGGCACAAGTGCAACACGCGACACATAATATGCAAAACAGTCTTTTGAAAAAGAGCGTGCCGAAAATCCCGAGTTTAGTCGCGACACGTTCCTGATCTAATCACCCTTCTTTGTCACGACCCCCCCCCTTCTTCATACCACCAGCTTCACACTCCCGAACAAGAGTTCGTTTCCTTCATTAGCGGTACTTCATAGCCACACGATAGCTTAAGCTAAACTAAAAAAGAAATCACCTCTTTTCGCTCTTTTGTTTCTCACTTGTAATTTTTTTTCGCCTCTCTTTCTCATTTACTTCCGATGTTGGCGGCTTGTTTTGATGGGGTAATTTTGTTGGTCGGACCATTCCGTGGACGGATTCGTTACGGGGCGAAAGTAGTTTCAAGTCCAAGCGCTACCGGGACAAGCTGCGCGAGCAGATCAAGGCTTTGGAGAATCTGCTCCCCATCGACAAGGCGACACTGCACCGCAAGCTGGACAGCCAGACGGTCTTCAGACTTGTCATATCCTACTTCAGGACTAAAGTCTTCTTTCAGGGTGAGTACAGATTTCCCTCCATCTTTTTCTCCTTTAAAGACAGTCTTTGTCATATCATCCCACGGGAAATAGACACCATGATCGATAATGACAGCCGGCTTGCATGGACACATTCAATTAACATCAACGTATTTTTTTTTTACAGTTGAGAATTTGTTTTTTTGTCCCCAGACAAAATTGTTTGCGGAAAACACATTGAATTAAACTATTTGGCAATTCTTATCCAAATCATGACACAAATCTTTGCAAGTACGAACCGATAAATTGTGACGGATGGCCAGCTCCCTTATTAACTCCAACAATTAACGAAGCAAATAATACATGGAAAATATATCAAAGTTTAACAACTCATCCATAAGATCTGAACACAGCCTGCAAACAGAATGTGAATGCACTATGCAGCTTCGTACGCTACAAAACAACCATGGGTAGATGTTATTTGCTCAATCAATGTGAGGATTTGTTTGATTTGCAGAAATCTCCACCACACACTACTTCGCAGACATGGTCTGAAAGTCTCCTTTTTGGAGAAAATTCTGCGGGATAAGTCAGCAATTTTACGAAAAGGAACAAAGATATAATAGGTTAATCATTCGTTGAAAAGAGTATACCAAAGTTGTTTCGATAGTTCATTAAGTATCCAGTCTACTGTGCGTCCGAATTTGGAGGTCAAACCACACTTCTCCTGTGCGAAAATGTATGTTTATCATGACATGTAGACTAAATTGATTTTTCATCTGAATGCAGAGTTCAAAATGATGATATTTTAAAGTTCATTGTCAAAGTGTAAGAGACACGAGTAAAGAAATTGTTGATGAACAGTCGACAAAAGACAAAAGGCGTATGACTGTACCATTCGCTTTCAGAAATAACTGCAGAAACTGAGATGTTAACACCGGTGTTATCGAGGACCACCGGTGTATTTTATTTTTAAATTTTACACCACTGGTCGTATATCGATACCGTGGTAAAACCTACCGTGGTAAAAATTTACCGTGGTAAAATTTACACCGCAAGTATACATTTAACCATCTTAACCATATTTTGAAGGGCAAAAACCTAATTTGATTTACATCTTAACCACCTTGTATAAACTATATATATTTCCAAGTCCGGAAATACCGTGTTATACTGCATGCCTGCATTTTTTCTGAACATTGGGAGTAGTTTTGTGTAAACCTTATAGCTACCTGTGCAATCACTACTGTTAAACTCTGGATAATGTTTGTAACGAATCATTTTTACTGGCATTACTCTTTTTGTGAAGAATCACAAAAATGATCAAACCGAACCCTCATTTTGTTGGACTCTTTACAATCCTCATTGCTTTTTTGTTTTAGAACGTGTATTTCGTCCATGTTATATTACATCGAATTTAGACAGATGGATGTAATGGGAATTGAGCCGATGCAGAGAACCAGCTGACCGTTATAATTCAAAGTTATGAGCGTAATTACCAAGTAGTTTTTTTAGTGAAATATAGGAAATGAAATACATTACATTAGCAAACGTAGTACAGAATTGCCTGTGGTAAAAGCATGTCATTGAACTCAATTTGGTCGTTTGTAGTCTTGTGAATATCTTAAAATGTCCCGATCGGACGAATCTGTACTGTATGCCTGTCTAACGCTGCAATTTATTGTCGTGGTGTCGTGCGGCGTGGTTTCGCACGCGCGTCGGGAGAACTTTAAAGAAAAGTAACGGTGACATAGGTGGAGATATAACAGTATCTTTCTCGAGTATCAAACGAGACGGGGAGAAGCATGCTAATGGGAATTGTTCAATTTGCTTCGTCTACTTTTGATAATGGAGCAAGACCGCGAGAAATAAATATCTAGGGCCGGTGAGGTAACCGCCATGCGTCCGCGAGTTTGGGCCGGCATAGTGCCGGTTTGACGTGACGACATTGGCTCGTGCTTAATCATGAAGTAATGATGGTAAGAAGAGTCAATTCTTCGAGGACCGTTCATGAATATGAAGATACGGTCTGGACAAAAAGTGGATAGGTAAAAATCTTGACAAAAAGTGGACATGTAAAAATCACACGAACGCTTTCTCAGCACGGGGGTAAACTGAGAACGCTAGTTTGAACAAGTGGTAAAAAAGGTCCGAATGAGACTCGATCTTGTTGAGTTACTGCGTGTCATTGCCCATATGTTGTGTGCACATTGTGCCAGAAAATGTCCTTCTCAAAGTATGGAGTTTTCGTTACACTATATTGCTTTCAAATTGAAAGCAGTGCATGTGTAATATTAGTAGTGACATGCTCAATGCGAGCTGATGTGTATGTAATGCACTTACACGAAATCGTAGATACCATATCACAATTGCATATGTTGCATAAACGGTTATTTAGAGAAGGTTTAGTTTCCATACGTCTTGCTTATCCAGTCCAATATTTTCCAACATCAACAACAATCTATTTTTTTTGTAAATCTGTAATTTACCGAGCTTTGATTCCTTAACATTGGTTGACACAGTGAAACGTTAACTGGTTTTCTTTCTACAGAAAGACAGGAATTTTAATAGAGGGAAAATATTGCGCCTTTCGGAAGGTTGAGTACGTTTTGCGCAATGTTGATTTTGGGATCATCGTCTTGGGGAAAAATAGGCTCATAATTTTAACAAAGAAACACAAAATACATGTACGTGGTAATTTGAATTGTATTACTCAAGAGGAGAGCCATGTCTCTGAGAGATGTGAACGTTCAAACTTGACCGCTCGGTCAACGTGCTCGTACTGTCTTGCACGAAAACAAAGTACCGAGCCTGCCTGGTCAAAATTATCTGAGCTGGCTGTGGGTGTTATGGAGCTTATTTCGGCATTGCCTCACGGCATTTTCATGTCAGTTCCATCAATTACGCAAAGTCAGAAATCTCATCCAGCCCCAACATTAATACCACCAACGCAGCAAATACAAATATTTTCGTAAGCATCATTGAGAACAAAAAAATTTGATCAATTTCAGCTCAATTCAGGAATTTTCCAAACTGGCTCTTGTTATTTTGTCTCCCTCCTCCGGTTCAAATGTGTTTTGACAGTGATGCAACTGTACTTCCTCTGTCAATCAATCACATTAAAATCGATACTTATACAGTACCCGCCAGATTCATTAAAATGAGCCAAACAATGCCTTGTTGAACTTGAGCTGTCACTTAAAAAAAAAAAAAACGCGGGAGAAAATGGGAGGGAAAAACTAGTCTATGCAAACCCATGCGATTGCGGACTGTATGGGGAATATTAAATTACAAGTGCGCAAGACAATGATGCATCGCTGCTGTCTGTGCGTCCGGTTAATGATTGTTGGGGTCAGCATGTTTGGAGCCTACCACTCGAGTAATTAAAAGACAAACAAACAGACATAATTACCGATAGGGACCGTCGAGATGGCCGTAGACTGGTTCGGTTTGGGTTGTGTATTATAATAGAGTTGCTAGTCTGGAATCGGACCGTTTACGATAGCGGGAAAGTGTTTTAAAGGTAGCACCATTTGCTCCTTGTGTCTTTTTTTTTAGGGTGCACAACTAACATGTAGAAGTTTAAGCTCAGCTGCTATTATAGGGCCTACATTTTGAGAAACTAAAGAAAACATTTTCTTAATTTTTTTTAGGGGTCTCTTAACTGGATTCCGTTGCTAACGCACGTAATAAAGTGTGACAGCGGCCCCCCCCCCCCTTTTTTTAGAATTACCCTCAATTATTATTTTTCTTTCCATCGAAACCATTTCTGGCGGAATAATTTTCACATGGTATTTTCGACCAGCCCTGTCTTCACTTTGGACAAGTTTTCTCCATTAATATTTTCGTGTCTTTAAATTTACTTTGCGGAACACCTTCAAAACTGTGATGTTGTTAACAATGACGTCGGTTGTCGATAACACTTCAGTTGTCTTTGGACAACATCGTTTACAGGTAGTAGGCCTAATTGTAATTATTGTGTCAACGAAAGAACAGCAGATCTACCCAAGTATTGCTCAAGGCGTGATATCATTATTACCCCTGCTCGCCGGGCGGAACACTCAGTGACCAAATGCCCTAGGACACTGGCGCTGCATGCAATGCCACTGACTGGATTTGAACCACCTACTCTTTATTTAGTAGAGCTCATGTAGTTTCTCTGCTAAAGTAAAATCAGATTACAACACCACCAATAAGCGATATTTGGGTCTGCGACTTGGCCTCCATGCACAAATGCAAGCACAATATCACTGTACATGTATATACACTCAAGGGCCCCCTTCAATGGCAGAAGCATTGTGCTATCTATTGTACAACGCAACTGCCCCATGATGGATGATCTGAACAATAGCTAACACAATGCATTCGCCATTGAAGGGGGCCGATCCGTGAGCGTACAATGAGACCATCCTCAGAATGGTCTGTATACCAAGTACTCCTAGTGCGCATCACGCATGGTACGATCACCAGGGCCAATGTCTGCTTACTGTTAGCGAAAAATCCCTGCTATTTCCGTAGCAGAACATTCTGTGCTTACGGTAAGCGAGTTTCACGGCTTAGCGAGGAATTTTGGCTTAGCACAACCATGGTTAGCACAGACATGAAATTGGGCCAAGCTGCTTGATCAACTTTGGGTTGGAACACAGAGTAATAATGTATGAAAGTTTTAAAACAATCGATATCACGAGTTTGGGAAGAGACACCATCGGTTCTGAACTTTAAGACGTTCCTCTGAAGCCGTCCTAAATCAAATGCATGAATCTCCTCGACTTTCTAATAAACCAACAACTTGTAACCGTGTTATGGCAGTTAACAAAACGAAAATCAAGGGGGAAATATAAATACACACAACTTAAATAAATCACCCACAAGTGGAAGTCAGTATAAGTATCGGTGATCAACTTTGTGCGTATATATTTATGAGTGCTGAATGATTACTTTTGCACTTAAGGGGGAATATAATCAAATATCAAACTCGTCTCGCTTGTTAAAAATATATAACGAAAACCTTTGCTGGGTTAAGGCGTGTGTCAATTATAATT